GTTCAGCAGAGTTGTGAAGGGATACATTTATGCCAAAGGAAGTATGCTGGGGAGGTGTTGGAAAGGTTTGGAATGGGAGGCTGCAATCCCGTGAAAAACCCTATTGTGCCAGGCACGAAACTGGTGAAAGATGGTGGAGAAGTCAGTGTGAATTCAACCTTGTTCAAGCAACTGATTGGCAGCTTGATGTACCTATCAGTCACTAGACCAGACATTGCATTTGTTGTTTGCCTGTTAAGCAAGTTCATGGCAGATCCGAAAGTATCTCATATGGCAGCAGCAAAGCGGGTTCTCAGGTATGTGAAAGGGTCTGTGAACTTAGGAGTGTTTTATGGAAGGGGTGCTGAGAATTTGGGAATAATTTATGAGAAAACTTCTGAAGTTGTTCTTAAGGCCTATACCGACAGTGACTATGCTGGTGATACAGATGATAGAAGAAGCACTTCTGGATATGTGTTTCTTCTAAGTGGTGGTGCAGTTGCATGGAGCTCAAGAAAGCAACCAGTTGTGACCCTTTCTACCACCGAAGCAGAATATGTAGCTGCTGTGGCATGTGCTTGCCACAGTATCTGGATGAAAAGAGTACTCAACAGTCTCGGTTTCTCTTCATGTAAGTGTGTTAAGATTTTTTGTGATAATAGTTCAACTATCAAGTTATCAAAAAATCCTGTTCTCCATGGAAGAACCAAACACATAGATGTGAGGTTCCACTTCTTACGTGATCTGGTCAAGGAAGGTGTTGTGGAGTTAGTTCATTGTGGTACTAGTGAGCAGGTAGCAGACATCATGACAAAGCCTTTGAAGTTAGAGTCGTTTGTGAAACTGCGTGATCTGCTAGGAGTTCAAAGCATGAAGCTTATAAACTGACTTGCCTTCAGCTAGTGCAGTTTAGGGGAGGATATGTTAGAGTTTCTGTAATGCAAGTTTGTTTTGATTTGAATAAGCTCCTATTTTTCAGGAGCTAGTAGTTCATTTAAGTTAGGAGTTGATCAGGTCAAGTATTTAGTTGCCACAGTCTTCGGGATGTGGAGACGTGGTTTGCTTTAATTTGTTTTTCAGTTGTAATGGCTATTTAAGCCAAACATGTTCTGTTAATAATTATTGGATTATTTCACGATCTTTACAGCTTCTTAGAGCTAGGTCTTTGATACTCCAACAGACACGCCTCCTCCCATGCCGAAGGAAGACACTCTTCCAAGGTGCCAGACACCTGCCGAAGCTCTCAAACTGCCAAACCTAATATCCAAGACATGTGTCACCATCACAGCGACTTGCACAAAGTCCCACATCGAAATTCTACACAAACCTCCCACTTTCACTTCCTTATAAATAAGGAACAGTACCTTAGTAAAAAGGGTAACTACTTTCTTACTTTTACTGTTACTCTGTCAAAGTTACTACTTTTAGCTGACTTAAGTATTGGAGAACCTTCGGTCGGCACCACACCGGTGTCCAAAGTTTAACGATTGCTTCTTCTACTTTGTCTTCTGCAGGCTAGTCCCTTGCCGAAGGTCCTCACCTTCTCCACTGCTGAAGGTAATCCACTTCTCTCTAAGTTTACCCTCTCTGACAAAGAGCATCAACATTAACCATTCTTCCTATTTTGTTGCACTCAAACCAACCCAAGATTAATTCAAAATGTTAACAATAATCAGTATACCCCATAAAACTAATGGAGCAAACTGTAGCTTCATCTCTCTTCCTCTTCCACATCCAACTTGGTCTTCCAGGTCTCTCATTGCCCTCAATAGCCAACCCATCAAAGCTTTCTCCTGTGGAGGCACTCATCATCAACCCATTGGAAAAAACTACAGGCATTGTTTCGCCTCTGTATATACCCACATTGTTATCATAAGGGTATGACTTATATGAAAATTCATTCTTAAAAAAACTACAACTCATCCCTACCTTTGGACACGAATGGAACCTCCACAGTGGGTTTGATTTTGTCCATGAAGTTTGAAGCCGAGTAATCTTCCTACAGTAGCATCGAGGGGCAGCAACGTTCACCTCTTCTGCTTGTGGAAGATGGTGCTTCATCTTCGACTTTTAGTTCAAATCAAGCAAAGGCCAAATTTTAGAGCTTGGTAGACCATTTAATTGAACAATTTTGGAGCTTGTTGATGGAATTCAAACAAATGCCCAATTTTTAGGGTTGTAGACCATTTTTTGTTGAGGGCTTCGAAATTTTTACGGGTGGGCCCCACTATTGCCATGTCACAAGTGTGGATAGGGGGTGGGGAGCCATGTGTGCTGAAAGGACTGAAATACCCTTGCTACGTCATAAAAAATGACGGAGTCAAGAAAGGAGATGACGATAGAGGGCAAAGTGATTCACCAAACCTTAATCAAGGGGACAAGGTGGGCCACTTCAACTTTCGAGGGCAATGTAGGATTTTATCATAGTCTCCGGGGAAACTACAGTAAATAAGCATTTATTTTATTTAATCACACCCAAAAGAAAAGGTGATCATAGATTTTTTAAAGGGTTTTGATCACAAAAACGTACTTGAAATTTACGAAACTATCAGCTTTGAGTCCGCTTTAGTGCTCTCTGTCCGAGTTTAACCCTTCACACCACCCAAAAAAAAAAAAAAAGTTTAACCCTCACATATCAAGTTGTTTGATCACATATCACCATGTGAATTAAATAAAATATAAACTAAATTGTAACAATGGTGAATTTCATTTTTGGTTATTGTTTATTTATTTTTTATTTATTTTTAATACAAACGATATTCTACTTTAATATAATCTAAACCACGGGGAGAGATTCAAATTCTGGTGTAAACTGAAGAGCACATCCTCTCTAGCCAACTTTGATTAAGCTCATGTCTGCTTTTCATTATTGCATTTTTAAACTCTGTCCTTAACTTAATATTTCTATCTTCCCTATTTAATATCATTTATTTATTTTTACCTTAATAAAAGTGATCTGGAAGAAAAATCTTGGGCGTGAGACATACTAGAGAAATAATGCACTGAAAGGGAAAAAAAATTATGAGATAGCATTTGATGGAGATGAGAGAGACCATCTTTGGCACAAAAGATCTAAAAGGAGAGACCCTCTGTACTTGAAGAGAATGAAGATGAACAGGCCCGGAGCTACTTTGAGAATGAAGATGAATGAGTGGAATGAATTCTACAGTCTGCGCAGAAAGAAGCAAGGAAAAGTGATCCTCCAAATCCCCTAAACCCTCAAAAACTAAAAACTAACTTGTCATGTTATATTTAATCTCAACCTCAGCCTACCATTCCTCTCGAAAACTTGCCATGTCAAATTTCATCTCATCCAAGGATCTAAAATTTGTGTAAGAAATATAATGCCACAGATCGGCCGCTATATTTAGTGTGTGAGAGTTGTGTGGGATTTGGGAAATCCTAAAAAGCCTGCCCATAATTGTAAAAATAAAATATAAATTGCCACTGATGTATTGTAAGCTAATCGTTTCTGCTAAAATGAAGCCAGAAAAATTAACATCATCAAATTACACAAACAATAGAAACGTGTTTACAACATCAAGAATACAACAATGTCTGAATTGGGGATCAATGCATCCCGGTATCTATCTTTTTACTACATCGATTTACAGTAACTCTTTTATCAACAGCCAGATACAACAATCTTCTCGTACGAATTTAGTTGGCAAGTCTGAAATTTCCTAACTAAATCTCCTTCCGTCTGTATGCTAGAATCTGAAAAGAGTAGCAGATATTTATTTAATGTTCATTGACTATTGTTGATATCAATGCAATCATAGAGAATGATCTCTTGCCAAACAGTCAGATTATAAACAGGACTATGCATATTCCCACATGATTCTAGCCACAATACACCACTGTCTAGCAAGAGAAAATTACTCATGCAACCATTATGTAGAGATTTTAAAGGTAATTTTAATACCATTAACAGCAGAGATACGTTTAAAAATCATTTTAAAAAATTTGAAAGGATTTCGAATGAATTTAAAACTTTATTTATGGTGTTAATGATAATATCTTTTAAAACCAAAAATAAAGTGAATGAATGGATTGCATTCTTCAAACCGGTTCAAATAATTGACAATAAGGACAATTTGTACAACATGGCTACAAATACTGCCATATGAAGGAGTTTCATGGATCTCATTATAACATTCTATCTTCCAAATAGTGTTTTCGGCACTGCAAATCATGTAAGCATCTTCACATTTGAGCATCAAAAGTTACTCTATTCTCTCATTTTAAGCTCAAAACAGTAAAATGAAATGCAACCAGAGAGAACTTTAACTAGCAGATGCATTTGTTATTTGATCAATGCTTATTATTGAAACGTTCGACTAAATTTTGCTCATTGGATCAATATTCTTTCAAAAGATGAGTTGTGTGCACCTTTTAGCTTGGCAATAGTAAAAAGTAGAGATCTTAAGAGAGCTTGTAAAATTGAGAGCTCACAATAACCCTTATAATGTCTACTCACCAAATGGTCCCTGCTGGAAGTGCAAATGGCTTTAACCCCTCCCAAAGTTTCTTCTGCTTGCAGAATTTGCAGGTCATATCTGCATGGATCAACTAGAAGGGGTGCAGAATCTAGATCATTCATTAAGGATGAAGGGTTCAGGGTCAACTTCTCGTCATTGGAACTGTGATACCCTTTGACTGCCAAAAATTCAACTTCTTCTGCCAGCAAAGGCGTCTGGCGAGATACATACTGTATAAAAAAAATGCATGGGAAAATTACACAGGCACATGGGTATTGTGTAATGTAGAAGAACACCAAAGAAATAAAGAGCAGTACATTAACATTTTTAGAATGAACAACTAGTAAACTTAAGGGTGGCCATATTATTAGAATGAGTCATGCTTGTGTTCTCTATCAATAGTATGCAAACAAAAATTCCAGCAGAGGATGCGGTAAAGAGGCATGACTAGTAAGTTTCACAGCCCAATTGTAACTCTCAATCCAAAAAAGCACAAGAAGAAATCATAACTTTTACATAGTCAAAGGCAAGTTTCACAAGTGAAATTTAAATCTTTAGATTAGTAATATCAGGAGAAAAATCTCACATCACAAAGGTGCTTGACTGACAAACTTGGCCGACAGCATAGGTGTGGCTGCTGCAAACTTGGTGTACATCTTTTATCCAAAGAAATAAGCATGAGATGAACATCTAACTGCAGACAAAGAAGTATTTCATCAAAGGGGATACAAAACCATGAAAAAGATAGCAGTACTGATTCTAATTGGGTCACGGCGGTGTTCATTGAAAGCCAAAGTAACTAGTTAGTAGTATCTCATTCGAGCCCCCAAGAAACTACAATTCAGCAAGAAACTCCACGGGTGGCATATGTAATGAATGGACCTAAATGACCCAACAAATAGTCCAACATAATATCCCTATACCTCATCATTGTTTTCCTCTATGCTCCGGAGATAATCAACCAACTTTGATAAGCGAGTGCTTCGAGAATTCTTATTGCTGCAACCACTAGAAATGCCATGCCGTGTGTGACTTCGAGCACCACCCCGCCCCCAAGCAAGCATTTCAGAGCTCCACACAATACCAGGAGAAATTCCGCGGTTCTCTCGGTTTACTTCTAAATCATTTTCAGTGCATCCGCCACTTGAATTGGCCAGTGATGAAGAAGGCTGAGAGCATCGAGATCCTGCTCGTCTCCTCAGCCGTCTTGGAGTAACTTCAGTACGTCGCTCATCAGTGGAAGATGAATTTTTGCCCATGTTATTATTGTCATTTTCATCCTCATTGTCTACAGATCCTTGGATTTCAGTGGCTCGAGAGCTCCGTCTCCTTAAAAAGGAACTCCGATTATTGCGCTGCGATCTCGTAATAAATGCATCCGGTGTATCTTTTCCAAATGTGCGTCTCCTGATTAGAGCTTCTGATTGTCGTTGAAAAATTTGGGCAATTGATGCTTGGATCTGTTTTGGAGCAATAAAACAGCACACCAGGAACAAAATCGTCAGTATCCAACATAGAGGAAAAAAAAAATGTAAGGCCATTTGGATTTGCTCCATTGCCTTGGTCCTTCACTTAAGGGTCAAAGAGTAGGGTCATGTATTCCAAGATTCAGATCTTAGAATGACTAAAAAAAGCCTGCTTTCTTTTGGTGAGGGTTTTGCTTAATTCATCTGTTGATTACAAATGAAACCACATGATTATAAGGTGAAATGAATAAAGAGATACAGGCCAGACAACATATTTCCTGAGTAGTGTTCATGTCCTAAGAAATACAACACCATCCAAATCTCTACAAGAAATTTTTTAACCATGAACCTAACCTGCTCGTTTCGAGTCCTCTCTTCTTCATGGAAAGCCAATTCCTGAAACCATACACAAATTAATTCTCAATTTGCAAAACACGATAAACTTACACATCTTTTCGTTAAAAAAAACAAAAACTTACACTAATCTTTATTTAGTCAAAATAGATGCATAAGATTCTCAAAACAAAACCCTTAATAAAACTACATCCTTTTGAGGAATAAATTTCTAATTTTTCCATTTTCTCTTTCAATACTGTAGGCCTCTCTCTCTCTCTCTCTCTCTCTCTCTCTGCATATACACACACACACACACATATATATATGAGCATATGTGTGTGAGTGTGACAGTTGTTTCCATCTTCTTGATTAAAACTTACTTTCAAGTTCAAATGATCAAGTTAAAAAGAGCATATATCTACGGCAAATCATCTAACTATAAAATTGTCATTAATTATGTCTTCACTTAGATGTCTATATTTAAAAATTTATGGAAACAAGAATAATAAGCTTTATTTATCTTTTTAGTTTTTGTGCATGGAAGCCCAAAAGCCAGAGGAAGAACCTACACTGGAACAAGCCTGGGCCTAGATAAAACAAGATCAGCACACAAAAGGCATACAATGGAGGATGGGACCAACTCAAAACATGATTACAATCATTACCCAAGCTGGCCACACCATCTGCGACAGTAACCCTATTTATCTCCTTGCTCATTATGTCTGTTAAAAACTGGATTGTAGTAAAACTAATTTGTAGTGTTATCCTTTCTATTTTTTCCATATTCAGCAACCTTTATTATTCTTGACCGTATGCAATGTACTTGTCAACCTGCTAGTAATATAAATTTACAAAGCAAAATTTATACCTCCTCCTCGTATTTCTCAATATCTGGATATAAAGCTGCTATTAGGGCATCATAATTTGGATCATCTCTCAAAGAACGTCGACTGGCACAGTGTGTGCGGCAAGCGGGGCACTCATTGTTCCTGAAATTACATATCAAACTAACTGAAAAAGGTTGATTGGTTCTCAACTTATATTATAACAAAAAAAATTCCTTTTTTTCAATCAGAGAATCAAAATGCCACTATTACGGAAATCAGAAAAAGTTAAGAGAGGTGCATACCCCATCCGCATTGACTTGTCTATACACTCCCTGCAAAACCTGTGTAGGCATTCCATTACAGTCCTTGTTTTTTTAATAATCCCTGTCAAGGAAAGAGAAATTGATGAATGAATGCTTACCAGATTGATAAAGCATTATGGATAACAGAAGAGGTAAGCAAGACTCAAGAGACGAAACAAGAAGCAGGAATCACTGTTTTCTTTTTTTAACAAGATCACCGTAACATTAGTAATTGTTACCAGTACCACTAGCAATAACACATCCAAATGGCTGCTGATGTTTAATGAGAACTTCTGGGGACAGAGTATATAAAGCTGACAAATTTAGAGTCTTGGGAAATCCATACAGGAATTCAATGTGCATGTAAAACTAAACTAATATCCTTTCTTAAATAATTGATATATTCAAATAATGGTGATTGTATTATGTCAAAATTTCAACAAACTAAAGCAATCCCCTAATCATTCGTTGTTCTAAGTTCAATAGATACTGGCATGTCCTAAAGAAGAAATTTGCTCTGTATTTGAAAAAATAAAATAAATTTCTCATTTGTGCTGTTGCCAATAGGAATCATGAACTATAGGTTACAGTGAGAAAACAGAAAAGAAATGGGTCTTAGGATACAACTTTATTTGAAGATTCCACCACACGGAGCTGATCTTTGGCTGTGGCCCTGATCTCGACGGGCAGGGTACAGGGCTTGGTACTTTATGGTGACTTCTTCTGTACTTTCTAGCAAGGAAGTATAGTTTCTTCATTTCAACATATAAAATTCCAAGGAGGTTTTGGTTTTATTTTCAGCAATCACACTTCATAGTCACCAGAGCTTTTAATTTTGTATCAGCAATCACACTTTTGCATGTGGCCATCCTGACTTCAGTCTTTCACATTCTCTTCAAGATATCTAAGCCAATTCATCAAAGACGAAGAAACTCAAATTGACTTTTTTGTTTTATTCAAGGGAAGGGAAAGACAAGAGTTAGATTCAGTCCATGGGTGTGAGGATAACTGCCATACCAGCCCCCCAGGAAACTCAAATTGAATTTGACTTCTTCCAAGTGACTGTTTTAGATTTATTTTGTCAGACTTGGCATAAATATATTCCAGAGACTTGGCAGATTAAAACATTGAAACGGCGACTATTCATTCAATTCCAGAGACATGGTGGTGAAGGTATTCAACTTTGATGATTCCCAAGCTTTCTGGACCTTACCTTCCACCTAGCATGCTCTTCATTACCAATGTTTGGTGTGAAAAATGTCCAAAAGGATCAATAAAACGGAACACAATTTCTTTAAAAATGTTATTGAGAAAATTTAGTATAATACTTGATAACTTTAACATTTTTTTCTGCCTCCGCATCTTGTGTAGTTCTGTTTCTCAATACAAAAAGTGTTAAAGATATCAAGCATTATACTAAATTTTCCAACAATAACATTTTTAGAGAAATTGTGTTCCGTTGTATTGATCCTTCTGGACATTTTCCACACCAAACATTGGTAATGAAGAGCATGCTAGGTGGAAGGTAAGGTCCAGAAAGCTTGGGAATCATTAAAGTTGAATACCTTCACCACCATGTCTCTGGAATTGAATGAATAGTTGTCATTTCAATGTTTTAATCTGCCTGTGCAGCAGCACAAGTATATATGTGTTTTCTACACACTTGAGCTCCCCTTCTTCCACATCAATATCTCTGTCATCATTTAGATCTTAAAATAAGTCCCGCTCCGATGGCCTGACAAGTCATCTACTAAATACATAATAGTATTCCTCCACGTATACCACTTTATTTCCAAACAAAAATTAGGATTCAGGGATTACAAACTAAAAGAAGTTTTCTTATAAACCCAGAAAAAGGGTGTAATGTAAGGAGGCAGATGCCCCTCTCCATTCTGTAACAGCATGCTAAACCATAGATCACCGAGTTTTTCTCACTATTTTATCTCAAGTCACGCCCTTCTTAAGCTTCCCCTTGTTCACGTATCGACTAAATCACACATTGATAGTTGGTTTTGGTTTTATATAACCCTTGTTTCCAGATCCAGATTATTCTTGACCCACAAACTATTGTGGTTGACAAGATGAGGGATGTATGGAGCCAACCAAATTATTCAAATGGCAGGCCCTGCATGGTTTGCCAAACCCACTTATAAGCATCAAATTTGAAATGCATTCTATTGGCTTGAATTTGTCCTTCTCAAATCAACTCTTGTATAATTTTAAACAAATGCTAGTTGTACTTACTATCTAAATAGCTAAGTACTAGAATTTGCCTCAAAATAGACCACGGTGCATTTCATAGTTTGAAAACAGTGGTAGAACTACAGAGAACACTATAAGAATCAGCACTTAACTACTTATTAATAATAGGGAATTCATTCTCTGCATCACTGAGAATCCATGCCAAGCAATGCAGGATTGCATTCCAACAAAAAGAAGTCAGTGCATAGCTACAAGAAGAAGCCAGTGCATAGCAGAATCAGCAGTTAACCACCATCAGAAAAAAGAAACGTGAACTAAGAATTTTGATAGATATATACATGCATGAATCGTTATAGCGCAGTAATTAATTGTTAACACACCACTTTAAAGTTCCAGTCAAGCAGCACTCATATGTGAGATCAACATAGAGGAGTAAACGATATCATGACACTTTCTATTGAGGTACAGAGTAAACATCCTCTTCTACTCAGTGCTTTATGTTTTATGGGAAGGAAAAAAAAAAGTCTATCTATATGCCACAAGGGGGCATCTTCATCAGTTGAGTCCAGTGGACGCATACCAATTTTGTTTTTAAACCATGACATTTCATTCAAAAAGTTCAGAAGCAGAAGTTACCAAGACATATTGGACAGTGTACATCTTTACGAATTTCTGGCAGTTGTACGAATAAAAATCTGCAAGGGAACAAGAAGTATGAAATCATTACTTTGCACTACACTTAGAAGTACAAATAGGTGCAATTTTTTTTTTCTTTTTTTTGAAAATGATAAACAGGTGCAATTTTCAATTCATATAGAACACTAGTTGGAGGATACCACCAGGAAGTTCTTATCCACAACCATGACATCAATAACAATTTGTAACAGAACACTACCGGATTATGAAAAATCAGAAAACCAGTACCCGCCCTTTAGAATTAATATATCGACTTTGTAAAAATAGTACAAGCACAAAAAAAGGCTCAGATCCCAACATTCATCAATCTCTCAAGCATTAATCCTCGTATCTTTCAAAAATTGAAACTTAGGGAAGTGCTTATAACAATACCAAAACTGACAACAACACCAACGACAACTCAACATTCATCGAAACAAATCGGCACTTTGTATCTTAGGACACGTGGAAAACCCATCAACATTCAAAGCATTGAGCTTTCTGAAACTGCTCGAAAATGGTAGTAAAATCTGCAAAAATCTACAACTAGCTAGTGCGCACAGAAGATATTTAAGTATGACATAGAATAAAATAAAACTAAGCCAAAATGTAGCGTGTGTGCACGAGAGAGAGAGAGAGAGAGAGGGAGGGAGAGTACTCGGGTTTTTCTTCAGAAGTAGAAGATGGGCTTCCCTCAGAATCTGAAATGTAAAAACAAAAGCATATAAATTCAGTCAATCAATCGAAAAATCGAAAAACAGAACACGACCCAGATGAAAAAATACATATACAAATACACGCAGAGCCAAAACAGTGAATATGGGGGAGAGAGATGATACGTAACCGCCAGCTTCATCTCGATCGTGTTCCTCCTCCTCCTCTTCTTCTTCTTCTTCTTCTCCATTTTCTTCATTTTCCTCTACTGCTACTACTTTTTCTTCTTCTTGCAGTAGTTGGTATTCATCTTGAGCTCGAGATTGCTTGGCTCGTTGGTGGTGGTGGATATGTGTTGGGTCTTCATCATCGCTGTCGCTGAGGCTCTCTGGCAAAGAACGCTTCTGTGCAGGCATTGATATATTACATACAACACCCAGAGAAGAAGACAGAAAGAGATCGATGGGCGAGTGGGTGTATCAGTTTCTCTTTCTCCGTAGTAGAAAAAGACCAGAAGGAGAAGAAGAAGAAGACGATGCTGGGAATGGGAGATTTTCGCTGGCTGCCGCTATATCAATCTATTAATTAAAAGGTTAATGATAATTAAAAAACAGATATAACAAACAAATTATTATTTTATTATACAATGCACACACAGAAGAGAGAGAGAGAGAGAGCTGAGATGAGAAGCGAGAATCAGATCTTACGGCCAAGAAAAAGTAGTACATGTTGCCTTTGTGGACGCGCCTCTGTCTGTCTCTCTCTCCTCATTCCCAATTACCGTCTTCTTTCTTTCTCCATACTCCTTTTCTTTTTGTATTTTCTTTCTTTTTCTATTTGACAAGAAATTCGAACTTAAAGTATCTGTCAACATCCGTACTTTATTTTCATGGTCTTTATTTACCGCAAACCTCAACACTCTCGTCACCACCACCATCCCCATCCTCACCCTACCACCACCACACGCAACAACCAGAACCACCCCCATTGTCACATCCACCACCCATCATTAACTCATTTATAAACTAATCATGACTCATTTATGATTGATGTATCTGTTAATACCCAATTTTAACATGGGGGGCTTCGATAAGCCCAAAACAACCTCTCACAACGAAAGGCCCAATAGAGAAGAAAATGTAGTTTTAAAAAAGCCCAATAGATGGCTCGGAAAAGCAAGGAAAGACACAGAAGGACCGAGTCAAGATCGGCTGATGCCATAAGACAACCAACATTACCAAAACGACAAACATGGGTGTCACTGTCCGTAGGAAATACTTTTATTAGGCGGAGAGCGTTACCTCACGGCCTTGCGAATCACGATAGCATTAATATTATACACATGGTCATGTACTTGCTCGAAAGGCTTAGAGATGCGTAACAAATAAAGAGGCACGCATATGAGGTCAAACTTCCCAAAATGCGCCAGCTGATGACGGGTGCTAAATGGTAAAAATCTAACAACTCATAAAATTCCACATCAACTAGCACTCTAGAATTTCACATTGTAAATTTTCTTTGTTATAAAAACATTGTTGTCCTTGCGCATCAACTCTACACTGAGTTTTTTCTATATATTTTTCAACAACAAAAATTCTGGTTTTTTCAGTTTTGAACGGATGTTTTTTATATAATTTTTTTAAAATAAATAAAATGAATTCCAACTAAATTTTTATTTTTTGAGTTTAAAAATTCACAAATGACCCAATTTCATGCGAAGAGAGCTGATTGGGCCTAGAAAAGAGAGGCGCTTTGAAGTTGGATTTGGGAAAATATTAGGTCTGAGATTAGACACTTAGCATTGGACTTAAATATACATAGTCGGTCCCGTCCGGTTTTGTAAGGTACGAAACCGGCATCGAAATTGGTTTGAACTAATTCGATTCGGTTTGGTGCTGGTTTGTTGACTTTTTAATCAACACCATTTTTCCCTTATTTTTTCTATCCGGTAGCTCGGTGTTCCGGTCTCAATGCCCACCTCAAGGCATTTCGTCAAAAAAAGAAAAGACTCAATGGCTATAGACATGGTGGAGTCTTGAAGTTGAAGCACAGGGTCTCATGTTTTGGACATTGGATCTTTGATCCATCAAACAAAACTTATACACTTGCTAGTATAGTAGCATGAAAAGCCGCAGTATGAAAATACACCTTATGACAACCACTACTTGCTTGCTCCAACAGCAAGTTTCTTCAACAAGATTTAAGAATCTCGTGAACTTTTATAGCAGCTCCGTGAAATTGTCATCAAGGTGTGAAATAGATTCAGCAGTTCAAATCGTAAGCCACCAAAATGTCACACCCAAAGCATTCTGCTAACAAAAGAACACATCGGAAAAGCGAGCAAGCTAATCTGAAGGTGCTAAACGTTTATTCAATTTCCGGGATCGAAACGTTTGTTCAATTGGAATTTTTGCTTCACCTAAATAGAAATCTTGAACATATATCTACCATGGAACTCTAAAATTATTATTACATCTCTAGGATGACAGAAGAGAGAGAGCATGCTTGACAAATCTTATCTGATCTGGAAATGCTTGTAGGTGGAATTTCCTTGAATGGTTATGCGAATTCTTCCACTATTATCACCCTGGCCACATCCATCCTTCAACTGAGTGTCTGTACCATTGCGGCTCGGGCCTTCTGCATGAGACTCGACTGAATTCTTCCTTCGCCGTTCATTGTGTCCGGCCAAACGCCTACGACAACTCCGTTTGGTGTCATCAAATTCTGGCAGCTCATGAAATCTGCAACGCAACATTTAACAAGGTGTAAACACATAGGGTAACCTAACAACAAATTCATTTGTGGACAAGAGCCAATGAGTATTGCCACATCTAAGTCTAACAGTAAGAAAGAATATTCATCCTCCGTGGAAGGCTGTTAAAAAACAATCCCAATGGAATCACTTTATAAAGCAAAAGACATTTTTCTTTTTAAATTATTAATATACTTTAATATACTTGAACTGAAGGAATCTTCAACTACTATTATATAAGAATAATAAATAAATAAATAAATAAATAAAAATTTCATGCAGGCATATACCAGCAATTGCAAACTGAAGTGAGATATAAGAAAATAAGTAACAACTAAAGACCAGAGTCCATCAACACTAAGCTAGTTTCCCCAAACCCATATAGAAGAAACCAGCAACAACAAAAGTGTACAAATTTTTCTGCAGAAGTCATAGCAAAAAAGTGTAAAACAAACCAGAAATTCCACACCCCAGAAACAAAACCAAACCAAAAACAGAGGAAAAAAATTAATCAAACAGATGAAAATCACAAGAAAATTGGATAGCCCCAACCTGCTGCATTGCTGGCAAAACCTTTGCCTCAGCCCAGAAACAAGCACAACCTGAGCCTTGGAATGAAGGTCACAAACCTTATGCCTTCTATGATACTGCTTTGCATCACTCAGATCAGCTGGGCATCTGTCAGCCTGACAGCATCTCGTCCCACCTCCACTTGTGCCTGATCTTTTCACAGAGCCACTTCCACCCACAATTCCTTTCTTCTTCTTATCATGATCTTCCTGTTGCTGATGATGATCAAATTCTTCATCTTCCTCTTCCTCCTCCTTGACCACCACATGGGGCTTCTCCATCCTCAGCTGCTTGTTTAAGTTAATTTTACTCATGACCTCCATGGATGCCCCAGATATTTATACGAATAAATAAAAGAAGATGGAGCTATTTTGAAGATGAGCAAGAGGAAGATATTAATGGGTTGGGATGTGGTGGAGGAATAGGGGGAAGAGAAGGAGAAGACTAAAAAGTAAAGGTACAGTGGTAGGAGTGGAAGAGTGAGGACCACCACCACAATCTGATGCTCCATAATTCTTTTTTCCAGGTTTTTTGCCTGTTGTCAGTTTGTTATTGTACAACAATAATGCACTGGCTCACAGGAGCTGATAGCAATGGTTCAATTTTTCTTTGGAGAATTTATAAATAAATTTATTTTAAAAAAATTATTCAAAAAAAAAAAAAAGGGAAATTGTTCTTCCAACATTTCCATAAAAACCTGCCCAGGCAATAAGATATTAAGATGGGCTGAAAAGTGGGCAGGTTTTTAGCCCCATCCATGTATGGGTTGGAGGAGGGTTTTGGGCTAAAAAGTGGAAATTTGGCTTTTAGCCTATTGAGATAGAGATGGCCTAACATTGCAAAATGCTATCCATTGAAAAAATTGGATTTTGGTGAGGGCTAGTTTGATTTGATATTATTTTCAAAATATGGTTTTTTAAATTATTTTTTTATACAAACGATATCCTATTTTAATCTAATCTAAATTATATGGAGGGGTTTGATATGGGGAGCGCATGCGCTCTAGCCATCTTGGCTAAGTCTATGTCTGTTATGGTTAAGCTCTTTCATTAATAATAATTAAAAAAAGAAAAGAAGTTAAGCTCTTTCTAATTCAGGTGGCATGGCATAGTTACTTTGTTGATAAGAAAAAAAAAATCAGTATGCTTGAAACTTTATGTGCAAGTTGGGAAAAAAATTTAGATGCAAATGAATTGATTTTGACGTCAATTTTGGTGCACATCTTCTCCACTGAAAATATTGGTAACATGAAAAACCTTGCATGCTTTTTTTGGCTTAAAATATAGGGCTTTTAAAGAACATAATCTCGGGCACATGGGGTGACACCACAGTAAAAAAGTGAGCCAAACTCTCCCCTTCCTCGCAAGTGAGCCACTTTTTTTTTTTTTTTTGGCTATTTACATTTTTATACTGAACTTGTGAAGCTCATAGTAACCCTTTAACCTCTTCAGAACACTGTTAACTTGAATAAGTTTGACAACCACTAACCTAATTAAACTTGAAGGGTTGGGCAAAATGTGGCACTAATCTTCGAAGTTAACATTTTCCCCAACTCTAATCATAAGTTTATACTCATGAAAGCTTAGTGATTAGGGTTGGGAAAAATGTAAATAGCAAGAGTGATTAGCGTAAACTATGAGCTTGAAAATCACAAGTTCAGTATAAAAATTCAAAAACCAACATTTCCCCGCTTCTTTTGCATTTTCGGAAACCAACCAGAGAAGCCATTACAGTTCTCTGATATGCCGCGAGCTCAGGCCTTTCGTCCAGCACTTGCTATGGGGTCGCCTGAGGAGCTCCAAATTACCGGCGGTCATGGGGTCACCTGACTCCTCTTGTCCCTCTGTGCTTCCGCCCCTGGACATGGCAGTCATCTTGCCTGACTCGCAACCAAGCACCCCTTTTCAAGACCCTCGCTTGCTCTGGCTCTGGTACTCTCTCTCGCATCATACCCTTCAATTTCCTGAAAATGTTTTACCAACCCAGGTCAATAAAGCAAGCTCTTGAGGATTGGAACTCGGGAAACGATTCCGGGTCGGATCTCACCAAGCTTCTATCAGATTGCGTCGCTGAATTCAACGACAATGATCAGTACCGAGACGACATCAGAGTCCTCAAGATTTGGTTCTTCTATGTATGTCGTACACTTCTTTCAAACACCTAATCCTACCAATTTTCATGCATTTTGCTTGTATGTCTTTGATGGGTTACCTTAGTTTATTAATTTTAATTAAACAGTTGTTTAGTTGCTTTCATTATATATGTTAATAATATACAGTATGGAACGTTTTGTCAGTGAGATTGATGCTTCATCACCAACTGGTTATGTAGGAGATAGTTTCAGGATTTGATTACTTGAATTGTGTATGTGGGTTTTGTTTGTAGATGGATTTCAGTGAAGATTTTGAAAGCGGTTTTCAGAAAATGTGGGAGAGTAAGATTTGTGTTGGCAACTCTTTGCTTTATGTCTGGTATGCATCCTTTCTTGAATCCAAAGGAAAATTGTACGATGCGAGCATGGTTTATCAGATGGGTATTTCGAGGTCCCTCTCTTTGTCTCTCTATATAATTTTGTGTGTAGTTTAGTTGTTCAATATAATGTAATGTTATTATGTTTTCTGTGGTGACAGGAATGCTAAACCAATTGAGTGGGTGAAGAAGGCACATGCCTTGTTTCTTGGAAGGATGTCTGAACTAGTTTCTTCAGCTCAGACTCTAAGTGAGCCTTTTTTCTTTGATTTCTAAACTTTTTAAATATCAAGGCTTAAGTCGTGAAAGTTGGGTTGTTCACATGTTTCTTCCTCTCCTTACTTGCTTTGCAGATGTATTTCAGCTAGCCTTTTTTGATGGACATGTTTTGTGCTTTGTTATGTTGCAAAACCTGTGAACTTTTAATGTGGCTTATATATTATGTATGTCCTTTGTTTAGATTTAAGACAGACTAAATGAATCAACACATAGGCAATTGATATGTATTACATTTTCTGTTTTATTGCCCGAAATGTTTTATAATTTTGGTTGAAGTGTTGCACAGTTGCAAAACACCTATGTAGTATGTAAGACAATTGATCAATTTTCATTTCTGTGGTGCAGAGTGGCAATGATGAATTGATTCCATTTGGGATCCTCATTAACCCATGGTCCAGCTCCACTATGAAAGTCTTATTAAAGAAAATTAATCATCAACTTATGAAATATTATGTGAGATGGTTTCCCTGTTATAGTTGCATAATCTCTTTTGTAGTCTGATTAAGAGTTAGCTTATTTAGTTTTTGCTTTTCACACGTCTCAGGGATACTGGTGTACTACTAATGCTTACTCTGGAAAAGTGGTGTTGTCTTCTCAGAAGAACTCATCAAGGAACAAGACAATTGAGATAGGTGATTGATTCAAATTATTGGTTCAATATCTGTGCTATATTCCAATATATGAATTTATGCATGCAGTTTTATTTCTAACTTCTAAGCTAAGTGAAACGGTTTTTAACTTTCCTTAGGCAGTGGTGTAGGATATGTTAGACTTCAAAACAAAAAATGCATAAGTATCTTGTGCTGAAATTCTCTTAGTGTTGTGTTTGAATTTGTGGATTTAGAATAAGACATTTAAACTGAAATTCTCAGTGTAAATTGTTTGAGATTTTTGAGATGGATAGACAAATAAAGTCTTTTTTACTGTCTGCTTGCATTTTGCCTCTGATGTATGAACAGGAGGTTTATTCTTATTTTTTAATCTCATTAAGTACATATCCTTGAGCAATCGGTTATCAGGTAGAAATGATGTCGGAGGATATTTATCATCTCCATGTTTGTCGACCTCTGCTTGTTTTGGACTGTCCCAATACCAACTAGTAGTTCTGTTTATTTCCAACTCAACCTGACTTATCTTTAATCTCAACTGTTTGGGGTTTGCTACATGGCCCCTTAAGGAACATTTGCCGTTTATATCCTGTTCAAAAGTCTTGTTTCTAAATTTGAATGTATCAGTGATTCCTCCTTTTTTTAATTTTTAATTTAATTAATAATAATAATTTTTTTAATTTCTTCCTTTCACTCAAGAATTAGACCTACTACCAACCAACTTCAACACTGCCCTACACTGTCGCCACGGCACCACCTTAGCAGGAGTCAGAATCTTTTTCCATTTCAGAATCTTCTTGGAGACTCAGAACATTCTGATTCCATTAGATAAAATTGGGTGTTTCTCAGTTTTAATTTTTCTGTCATTTTATCTCTGGATGCTCAATAGAATGCTAGAAGGTCAATGTATGAAGTACCAGATCATAGGTTGCGCAGGTCAGGGTGGTTTTGCTCAAGTGTATAAAGCATATGTCAGCTGTAATCCTGACGATGTTGTTGCATTGAAGGTAAATTCTACCTCAGACTTCGTACTCTCCTAATCCTGACCAGTGAATTACTGGATAGTTTCAGTCTTTGAAATTTTTGGCAGATACAAAAGCCTGCTTTCCCTTGGGAGTTCTATATGTATCGTCAACTGGATCAACGGATCTCAGACAAGGAAGTATGCATTCCTGATCCTCCGATTCTTTTGTTGTTAGTTGCTAGTTCTGTTTATTTTACACTTTATATGCCATTGTATCAGAGGTCAAGCTTTGGTCTTGCTCATAGAATGCATCTCTATTCTGACTGTAGCATACTTGTCTGCGATTATCTTGCTAATGGAACACTTCAGGTTGGTTAATCATATTGATACCAATTTTCAGGTCTGGCACAGTTGTTTCTTGTCATGCTTATTATAACCTAAAGATCTTGTGTAGGATGCAATAAACTCATTTGCAGTCATTGGCAAGTCCATGGAATAAGTGTTATGCGTTTATTACACCATGGAAATGCTCTACATGCTAGAAACTCTGCATGATGTTGGCATCATTCATGGTGATTTCAAGCCTGATAATTTGCTTATTCGTTATGCTAGTTAAAAGCCATTATCCATGGTATATCTTGAGCGTGTTACAGTGTAATACAGATAAGTTTTACAAAATAGCACAATGGAACTTGAACATAAAGAAAACTGGACCTTTGACTACTGATATATTTTACTCACGATCTGCCACTTTTTTTTCATTTTCCTTCCTTTGTTCTCTCTTAGAGGCTACTACTTACTTGTAATATTGAGTCGCATTTGTTCTTTTTCTTCTCTTATTTTCACTGCTCTATCTGGTTATTAGACATGTTTTTATAGCTTTAGTTTCTATTAACATTATCCTACGCTTGCATACAGGAATGACTTTACAACAGATGGATTTTGTGATAGAAGTGGTCCCTGGCATGATCAGATTAGAAGTTTTTTGCATAAGACTAATATTCAGTTTAGGTTTTTATGACTAATATGGGTATCATCTTGCAGGGTCTTTGCCTTGTCGACTGGGGAAGAGGGATAGATATGCATCTCTGTCCTGACAATATGGAGTTTAAGGAAGATTGCCGGACTTCTGGATTTCGTTGTGTGGAGATGCAAGAGAATAGTCCATGGACTTTTCAGGTAGTCTTCGTTTTATTTTGCACTGTAAATTCAGCCAACATTTTTGTATCTAATTTTGCTGTCACCTGTTACCAGGTAGACACATATGGCCTCTGTGTTGTCCATTTGATGCTGCATAATTCTTACATGGAGATTGAAAAGAAACTATCACCTGAAGGTGGTTACATTTATCAATCCAAGTCATCTTTTGAAAGGTACTTTTCTCAGTTCTGCATACTTGGCCATTTGTTTATCATATCGATTTTTATTTTTATTTTTCTGAGAGGGGTACATCAATTTTTCTTTTTTCTTTTTTAACACTTGATTATTAGCGCAGTCACCTTAGAAATTTAGGGTCATAACATAGCTGTGCACAAACAAATAGATGCACTTATTCTTTTCATCTTCCATCTCTTAGACCTTCACTCATCAGTTTGTATTTTGACGATTTTGATTTGTAATCTGGTCGTTCAAATGAGTTCAGATATTGGAATGCTGAACTCTGGAGGAATTTATTTACAAAACTGCTTAACAGTGGCCCCCACGCTAATGACAAGAAGTTGCTGCAGGATTTGAGGGAGTCCTTCCAGGATTACATGTGCTCGGACCCTCTGCTTATAAAGAAACTTAGCGGTTTACTGGTTAAGCAAAGGGCCACAATGGGTGCTTAGTGACCCCATCATCCCTCCTGATTTTCTGTTAAACCTTTTATGTAAATTCAAGTGCCAAACTTTGTCTGTAGATGTGCACGTGTAATTTGTGAAGATGTATGTTTGTCTCCAAAGAAAAGAGATGTATGCTTGAATTAATCATTCAAATACTATGCAAGGACCATATGGTATTGTCCAAGGCTCCCATGGATTTCAATCTCTTTATATGAATGAAATTTCATAGACCACTTCTTTGGCATCGAACTCTCATACATTTAATTACATGTATTTTTCCTTTCTTTTTTCTTTTTTGTAAATGGAATTTATTAAAGCAAGAACAGCAAGAACCTGAAAGGACCAGAACGCTAAAAGCTAACAAAAACAAGACAGAGAATTAAAATAGAGCAATAATAACTCGAAAGCCTAACGCCAAAGCTAACACGCAACAAGGAGGAAGGAAAAACAAGGCTGGAACATAATACATACAAGTTTCTCTACGACATCACATCTTCATTGAACAACCTTTACACACTCGAGTATTAATTTACAATATCAAACAATACTAAACCAACTTGTCATCTTATTCTGGTTCTTGGATTCCTGGCACTCTTAACTATATGATGATTATTATTATTATTATGTGTAGCTGGGAGCTGTTGTACTAAAAGGCGAAGACCGAGGTGTTGCTGCTGGCACCGCGGCAATGGTAGGGGCAAAAGCAGCTGTACCGCCACCAAAACCACCTTCACAAGGATGTTCAAAGCAGTCAACAGGATGCTCGAGTGTTGCATTACATTCTTTCTGGGACCTCTGGTAAGGCTTCTCTGGCAAACAATTTTGCCGATCATCAAATGCGATGCCTTTGGATGTCAAATTCTGGCATATCCCCTCTTCCTCGCAGAAATAGTTATAAGAGAATGTGAAATTTGCCAAGTTTGGCAAACAACAAACTCCATCTGGTACAATCCCAGTCATGCTATTGTGAGCCAAATTTAGTTGCTCCAAATGAGATAGCCCTGCCATGCTGTAAGGTATAGGACCAACAAGCTTGTTGTAGCTCACATCCAACACCCTCAATTTGTACAGAAACCCAATCTCTTGTGGCAAACACCCTGACAAGTTTGTGTTGATTAACAACAGTTCCTCTAAAGTATCGGCGAAACTGACAATGCTTGGGGGAAGGCACCCCCCAAAGTTGTTGTTAGCAAACACCAATACACTGGCTGAGCTTCCACCAAAAGTAGCTGGAAGTACGTTGGTGAAGCGGTTGTTATTGACAAATATTGCATCTAGTTTTTTCTTGAAAAGTTGTGGAGATAATGGACCTTCAAATTCGTTGTACCGAAGATCAAGATATTTTAATGTAGGAAGAGAGAGGACGACCGTGGGGAAAGGGCCAACAAATCTGTTGTTACTGAGATCAAGCTCATAAAGGAGTGTAAGGTTGGCCATACTTTGAGGGAGAATGCCACAAAAGCGGTTGCTATTCAGATGGATGAGTGCAAGATCACACAAGAGACCTAATTCCTCAGGGAGAAATCCGGCAATGTTACCTTTATTAAGGTCAATGCCAGCAACAACTTGGATTCTGGGGTCATCAAGAGCAGGTGCACAAAACACACCCTTGTAGTTACAAACTGAAGGACCCACCCAGTTGGACGTGAAGTTGTACGGATCAGAGTAAATTACGCGTTTCCATGCTTGCAAGGCAAGGAAAGCTAGGTGGAGTCTTGGGTTCGAATCATCCGATGCTGCAGCCGGATCAGGATGGTTGTGGTTGCCGCGGTGGTGGTGATGGTGATGAGAGGCATGGACTTTGCTGCTGCCGTGTTTTGCAGCAGCAGCCAGGTTGAGATTGTGGAACAAACAAGATAGGTTTAGAAGTAGGGGGATTGATATTAATGCATGGATGGCAATGGAAGTAAATGAATAGGAAGCCATTCTTCACTCAATATTCAGTGAGTTGGTTCGAGGCGAATATTGAAGACATACTGGCTAAGAGCTGTTTGTTTCTTATATATATATATAAGGGATTCTCTCTCTCTCTTCCATTCAATTCAAGTAATAAGTAAAACCCAGACATAGAATAGTCTGGTCTCATTTTTAATCATATTCTTCATGAGAGTCCGATGTAAACAGATCAGTTTCTTTCTCAGACTAGATGATTGCGCAGAAAGAAGATTCATGTTACAGCGACAGTTAAACCATTTCAAATGCCCCAAAGATAAAGATACACTTTGAATATCTAACAGGCTCACCCTTCACCCTTTAATTAAAATTTAAATGGTTATATTGAAATCGAATTTCTTAGGTTCAATATTGTATTGTTTGTGTACCAAATGAATGTTGTTGTGCTTCACATTTGAAAGAGTATGATGGCAACAGCATTTGACAAAGTTGTACATATAAATTTCTGCAGCATAAGTGTAAGCTTTTCTTTGATAAGGATTAAGAACCTACCTCCATCCATGTAGTTTTCACAGTTGTTTGAAGTGGAGCTGGAGAAAGACAGCTTCAACCCCCCAAGACTCAGAGAGGGGGGATTTCTTGAAGCTGAAGGAAGGGTGGTTGCAATTGAAATGCGGCCGGATCAAGTAGTTCAAGATATGCAAGTCATGTGTCACAGTCTTCCCTGCATCTGCCTGGAAAATGTGGGCTAAACTATAATCAACCTTTGACAGTACATTTAGACTTTTAGACCTTTAAAAAAGCAAAAGGAAAAAAAGGCACAAACCATGCTTTCCTGCCTTTTGAAGTATTCTAAACTAGTGATTTAAATTGGAGGTGTAGTATTTCGTATTATACCCACAACTAAGGCTTACATAATTTAGAATTTATGGTTTACAGCTGTGCCCGCTGCAGAGCACCGTATATTTAAGGCCGAGGTGCATTCTTGGCCTTTCTCGGTTGCTAGTTTCTGCTATCATCTCCCATGTTGGAGCTGAATGATATTGCCGCACACCAAGCATCATAGGACTCTTTTCCAGTTACTTCACGCTAGGTTTGGTAGAGTTTTACATGTCAGGCACACTGTAAAAACCCACCGTAAAACAGTGGGTCCCACACCTATAGAAGATACAATTACCTAACACCACTCCCAGTTTGATCTTAGAAAAAGAGGTGGACATAGGTAAACACTAAGCAGCCATAAGCTTACTAAGAATCACACCTGGCCTAACTACATTCCTTTGCATTGGACTTCATTTCTATCAACAAGATCACTCTAAATACAAATATAACCGCTTCTTACAATATAGATTCTCTATACCCGTTGTCTCATTTTTCTTAAGAAAAGACGCGTTAAGAAAATCTCACTTCTACTCTATTTTCTTCAACTTGATCTCATTTATTAGCATAACTGATTATCCAAATTTTGATATAAGATTGAAGCAATTAATCAAACACAGTCCAGCTCACCTAAAGGGCCAAAAATGAGGTCATATGAGCAACTCTTTAATGGAAGCCCTTGGATTAATCCAAGGGCACATATTGTTAGTAGTTAACACATCACTTATACTCCTGGTTTTACTGAAAGAACTTTTTAACTATTCTAACTCAAAAACAAATAAATAAATAAAAATAAAAATCCAGATTTATCTTCTCAAATGCAGGAGCTCTTTATTTTAGCAAAATAATTAATAAATTGGCATACATGTTGAATTTTTTCTCTTTCTCCTCGTATGCTCCCCGATTTATCACAAAAATTAATTTTTCTTTCAAGCTTTTCAAAGGCATCTCCCTCTCAACCAGGGGCGGAGCTAGAATTGTAAAATTGAGGGGGCCGAAGTTAAAAATACAAGTATACAACACACATAAGTATTCAATAATTACATATTTAGAACTAAATATTTCTAATTGAGTCATGTCTAATTTGTTTTAGAGAAAATTTTAACTTAATTATTAAATTATTTATTACAAATTCTATATATTATATATAATATAATAGAGAAGGGATAAAAATATGGGGGGGCCAGGGCCACTCCAGGTCTAGGAGTGGCTCCGCCACTGCTCTCAACTTCATCTTCAGTTTTTGTCAATTATTCCTGGGTTGGGAGGGAGTAGCCGTGTGATGGGTGACTATCGAGCATGGTTCGTGTCTGGTATAAGAGCATCTCCACCCACAAGGGCTAAGTCTAGGGCAAGGGCAAGCAAGGGCTGTTACTATTCACGTAAATAGTGTCAGCCTTTGCATTTGTGGTTCCACCCACAAGGGCAAAGTCTAGGGCAAGTCTAAGGCAATTACTATTCATTGTACTTTATTTCCTATTTTTTTATACTTTAAACCATTAATTTTGATAAGCTTTTTAGATTATATTTTCGGTTGTCACGTATCACTATTTATATTTTGGATGAAGATTTGGTGTGGAAAGTGAATAAAATTGTTAGGTATTTATAGGGAAAAAATCCAGAATTTTTTGGTATTTTTTTAAAAAAAATTTGAATTTTTTTGCAATTTTTTATGCCATTTGTTTTTTTTATACAAATAGAAAGTAGTAGAAAAATGTGAGGGAAAAAATAAAATGGTTATGTATTTATAGGGAAAAAATACAGAATTTTTTGGTTTTTTTTTTAAAAAAATTCAGATTTTTTTCGATTTTTTTTGCAATTTTTTTAGCCAAAAAAACGAGGACTGTCGGATTGTTGGAAAAAAAAAGGATCGAAGAGTCAGGGTTGCGACACGTGGCACATTACCGTGCGATGATGTCACTCTGACGTCATCGAACTCGGGCTGAAGCCCAGTGGAAACTTGCCCTTGGGCTTGCCCGGGCTGGTGGGACCCAGGGCTTGCCCGGGCTGGAAGTGGAGCGCTGGAGTTGTTTTGGGCCATCTGGGGGGGCCTTTTGCCCGATTCTGTGCCTGCGGTGGAGGTGCTCTAATGGCCTCTGGCTGCCTCTTCTTCCCTTTTTTCCGGCTGGACTTTTGATTTTAGCTATCTTATTGTATCATCCCTAATCGAACGGGGAATCCTGGGGAAATAAGGGGGAGACAGGGGAGGAAGGAAGAAGAGATGAACGTGTATTCCTCTTTTTTATTTTTATTTTTCTTTCTCTTTTTCTATTTTTCGCGTGGTTAGAATAAGAAAAAGGTTTGTTTGGGTAAAACAAGAGTATTTATAAAGGTATACACTACTAAGAATATGTGAGTTGCTCACACTACCTCATTTTAAGGTCCTTAAGTGAGCGGGACTGTAATCAACCAATAAGGCCACCAAAATAACTTCGATCAAAATTGCAGAAAATTGAGTAAAAGCGAGGTATTCTCAACACATCCTGTATGTACTTAAAAGTGGAGCTGAACCACAAGAGTCGGTGCATGACGCATCTTGCAAACCCAGAGATGCCATCAATTATACAAATCTTACTTAGACCTAAATGCCTAACAAAAACTTGACCCCAAAAAACAAAGCCTAACAAAACCCTTTACGAAAGTAGCAGCAAAGACAGCTGAAACCATGAGGAATATGGAACCAGACAAGTACGAAACAGAATTTGCCACAAAAAGGATGTGAAATTTATATACGCATTATAAACAAGTTAAAATAATAATAAAAAACCATTTTATCAAACAAACTCGAATGCGACTAGAAATCACTAATTATAAACATAGTTGTGAGACCAGAAACCACTACTTATTCTCAACAAAGAACAAAGGAAACCCTGATACTACACCCGTCTTAGGGCTAAAGCACACATAGCAAGCACCCAAAATTCAAATTTCTTTCCTGTAACTAGGATTTTTCTAATAACAGATCCCTAAACATTTGGAAAAGTAAAAGCACTTCCATTCATCCAAATTATTCAACTCAGACACAGTGCTTACACATCCACTAATGATTTTCGTCGACATAGCATTTATTAACCACCACCACCAGACCCATACTTCTTGCCAAGAAGTACAACTTGCAGCTTGTCATAGCCAGCAAGAACACCAGCGCCTGCAACAGCACGCAATATGTTTGCTCCAGCACCCTTAAACAGTGATTTAGAACCCTCCTTTTTGATGATTTGCTTAAATGCATCTAAAGAGCTATTGTATTTAACTGCTTCTCCTGAAGTCATCATCATCCTTCTGCGGACTGTGTCAATGGGGTAAGAAGCTAATCCAGCACCAATTGTAATTCCCCATCCCAGCAAGAAACTAGCAAAGAAACTATCCTGTAAATCACCATGAGAAAAACAGCAATGAACATCAACATGCCTTTAATGTGTAAATATCTTGGAAGACTACAGCAGAATTTAAATACAACATTTGCCTACACTTCAGGGGCACATATTCAAATCCAAAACTGTTGGAAAATAAGCTAAAGGATATTTAAAATGGGATAAATATACAGAATGAACCCAAATTCCAACACAGCATCTGTGCTAATTGCACAGTACACATTGACCCTTCACCAACCGACTTTGGGCAAGGCAGGCAGTGGTCAAAACAACTCCATGAGCAGCTACATTGCAAATAACTCAACCAGCCGACTGTGTTTCATATTAATGCAAAAAATGCCGTCTTACTAGCCCAAAATTTATAATGAACAAAGGAAAACATCCAGAGTATAAGACCCACAAACAAGTCAAATAAGCGCACACACAAAATTCCAAAGGGGGTACAAGTTCAAAATATATAACATACCTGCAGGCCACCAGTTAGAACAACAGGTTTCAGAGAATCGTACATTCCGAAGTAGAGCCCACGATACACAATAATTCCAACACAAGAGATATTGAATCCTCGATACAGCCCAGCAATACCATCAGACTTGAGGGTTTTCTTGTAAACATCAATCAAACCATTAAACTGCCTCTCACCACCCTTTTTGGCAGCCTTGGCGTCATTTGCCAAACGTGTTCTTGCATAGTCCAGAGAATATACAAAAAGAAGAGATGAAGCACCAGCAGCACCACCTGATGCCAGATTTCCAGCGAACCACTTCCAGTAACCATCTTTATCCTTCTTGAAGTTGAAAAGCCTCTTGAAGTAATCCTTGAAAGCAAAGTTTAAGGCCTGATACACAAGTTTTAACAATTTTAGAATGGCAATTAAAGGCCACAAGCTACATGATGCATAATAGAAAAGCTAACACTCCAACACAACAATGCAGATATCTTGAAGTGATCTCTCATATTTTCTTTATAAACAGTAAGCAGACAACATTTACTAGTGAATCAAAATTGACCTGGGTAGGAAAGTATCTGATAACATTAGCAGTGTTTCCTCTCCACAGAGCAAGGACACCCTCATCCTTAATTGTCCGGGCAAAGCAGTCAGTTATACCCTTGTATGGTTGAGAAAGCCGACCAGCCTTGATCATCTCATCCTGATTCTGTATTAGTAGTTTAACACGCTCAATTGGAGCAGCTGCGGTTTTGGAAACAGCAGCAGATACACCTCCCATGAGGAAATCCACAGCAAAACCAGCTGCACCTTTCTCTACTGGAGCCTGTACCATAATGGGGGGCAAAGGAGAGACTTGTGCAAGGACAGTGCTTTCAAATGTTAGCAGGGGCCTCTGCAAACCTCCATTGGCATAAGCACCAGTCACACCATGGTTTCTTGTGTGCAAGTTGGGGGAAAGCCTAGAAATGAGAGAAGACTGCCCATGTATCTTCTGAAATACCGATGGATGGGATGACCCATCAGCCATGATTATAACTCAAGCCACTGACTGCAAAAGAATAACATGATTTCAAATACAGCCATGCACCAAGAAGAGGGGTCTGTTTTCTGTAACTGATACATAAAATGACAGGGTAATGAAATAATATAATTCTTCTCACAAGCTTATATAAATGGAATTTTCCATAAGATAGCAAATTCTTACAAATTGACAATACAAATATAAACAATGCACCAGAAGATTAACTAGTGGCACGGCCCATGTAGATAATCCCAACAGAATACCTAGCAAACTGACAATACATACATAACTAATGTGCCATATCCTCAATGTGCCCTGGAAATAAATTTCTCACAAGTTCGACAAACTGTCAACATTAACTAACGGTTTTGTCAACTATACATGAGTAAATTTATTTTTATTTATTACATTTGATCATTTTCAATTGCAAAGGTGAAATTTTGAAGTGCAAATTGTCTCATTTCCCTCTACCCAACAAAATTTTCACTGCACATAAGATTAAGGGAGGAATGTTCGTGGTGGGCATAAGGATAGTAACTAACATTTCTTCTTCTGCCAATCAACAAAAAGAAGAAGAAAAAAAAACCCAGAACCTTACTTTCCTTGCTCCAGTATGACCCTTAATTTTCCCAACTTTATTTGTTCTTTTGACCATTGGTCTACACAAAATTGATTACCTTACGTACCTAGCTAAGAACTGAATTGTGATTTTCTCTGAAGTCAATAGTAAAACATTTTTACAAATTATAAAACCCAAATTTTCATCCATTCAAACTTGCATTTCTCAGCAACCAAATATAAGTAAACATCCATGCATTTCATAAAACAAGAATTTAGAGGTGTCAACGACAAGAACCAGGTAAGATCAGTTAAAAATTAAACAAAAATGAAGAAGAATACAATAAAAAAAACACGGAAAATGGTCGTTAAGCAGAGCACAAGTCACAACTAGTTTCTACTGGATTTTCTCGGCAACCAAACAAAGCCGAAAAGGTGGAGTCAGAGGTGAAGGATCAGAGTTGGAAGAAAACCCGAACCTGAGAGGATCGCAGAGGAACAGAGGCACAGTGAGAAGAGGAGAGTGAGCGAAGAGGGAGTGTTTTCGATCGGTAGATGGGAAATGAAGGAGATATAAATGAGACCGCAGGGGAGGGACGATTAGGGTTTTTTAGAATGACGGTTTTAGCCTGGTTACGCCTTTAAATTAACGACTTGGCCATTCTTGCGCCTTCAAGTTTTGAGTGCGAGCAATGAGCAGGCTCTAGTTAACCCCGCAATTCACCAGTGACCCGGGTTGGTCAAAATGTTATTTTTCCGTCACTGGACCATGTTTATTCAAATCTCATTTGGTTAAAAAGGCAAGTATATGTTAAGTTGGTTTTCTTTTTGTTTATTTTTTGATAAAAATTTATCAAACACTTATCACACTTTGACTGCTCATAGCAGAGTAATACCAAACTACCAAACTAGCCCATCAGTTTGGTTGACCAACCCACACCGATGGTCGACTTTTGGTTCAAGCAATTTATCGTCCACAAATTTTGGTCGGGAATCGCCAGTTTCCGATATTCGCGATTCAACTGAACAACAATAAAAAAATTCTTTAAAATATTTTGACACCCGTCTTTACATAACCAGACCCTTAACACCGTTTACTCAACTTTTTTTTTTTAGTTGAACATAAACATAATATAAATAAATAAATAAAACTCATCTCTACATCCTACCCATATTACTTCCTCCGCCCCGTCTTTGTGGTTCATAGTCGTCGGACTCTTTCATGGTCATGTTCCAAATTCAACTATGATCTCAACGGAAAATATGTCATGACGATGATTCAGCGAGCATGGTAGTAGAGTCTTAACTTTCTTGCAGAAACTATAAGGGACATAATGAGCCTCTCCATTTTCGGATAGCGAGTCTCTGCATTGAGGAGGGCTTTTGAAGTGTAGAATACAGGATGTTGTGCCCTCAGCTCTTCTAGGATGAGAGCTGATCTGACTGCTAAGTTGGACACCGCCAGGTAAACAAATAAATATTTGCCTGGTATAGGTTTTGAGAGCATAGGAGGTGAAGTGAGGTAGGTTTTCAAGTTTTGAAAAGCTACTTCGCACTCTTCATCCCACTTATCTCTTTGTCCTTTCATCAAGGCATTTAAGAATGGCTTGCACTTGTTGGTGGATCTTGAAAGGAATCGGTTGAGAGTTGCAGCTCGACCCATTAGATTTTGTATCTCTTTTGTTGTGGCAGACGACTTCATGTTGAGGATGACCTTAGTTTGATTCGGATGTGCTTCGATGTCTCTTTGGATGACTAAGAATCCCAAAAATCGGCCAGATGAGACTCCAAACGTGCACTTCCTCAGGTTCAACTTCATGTGGTACTTTCGAAGTAAGCTGATGCCTTTGGCAAGATTCTTGATGTGACTTACTTGTTGGGGAGCTTTGACTAGCATGTCGTCTACGTAGACCTCTACAGTCTTGCCGATATACTCTTTGAAAATCTTGTTCACGGGCTTCTGGTACGTTGCTCCTGCATTCTTCAACCCAAAGGTAGCAATATGTGCTTATTTCGATTATGAAAGAAGTCTTGGCTTTATTGTCTTCATGCATCATAATTTGATTGTAACCGGAGTATGCATCCATGAAGCTTAGTTGGTTACCGAAGGTTGAATCTATGAGCTGATCAATTCTTGGCAAGTGAAAGTTGTTTTTCGGGCATGCCTTGTTAAGGTCGGCGTAGTCCGTGCACACTTTCCACTTGTCTTGGTCTTTCTTTACCACTAGAACAACGTTAGTCAGCCATTTTAAGTAGGAGACTTCTTCAATGAAGTCAGCAGCTAGGAGCTTGTCAAACTCGGCTTCAATGATGGCAACTCGCTTGAGAGCGAACTTGCGTCTCTTCTGCACTACTGGTCTGCTGGCTGGGTTGACATGAAGGTGATGGCACATGATCTGTGAATTGATGCCTAGCATGTCAAATGGCGACTAAGAGAACACGTCTTTGTTGTTCTGCAGAAAGGCTATTAGCTCCATGTGTTCCTTTGGGCTTAGGAGCGTGTCGATCATCACTTTTGTTTCTGGCTTATCAGGATCAAGGGGTACTAGCTTGATGTCCTCCTCAGGCTTCCATCTTTCTTCAGGAGAGACCTCCAGACTAATTCCTTCGTCTTGGTCCTTATTTTTTTAATTCCTATTGGGGAATGGTTATTCCCTTCCCCTTCTTGTCTACTCAACTGTTAGGAAAGGTATTTGCTTCCTCCCCTGCTTGTTATACTCAAGGATTAAAATATCGGCCGTGCAGATAATATCGGGCCTCCAATTTACGGATATTTCGGGGGATATATCGTTATCGTTTTAGGTATCGGGAAGAAATCAACAAAAATGACAGATATAGGCATTGAAACACATAATTTTGGTGTAAAACTTTCATAGATGTTATGTACATTGTCAATGAATGTATTGAACAAATAAAACTCAAAATTTACTAATAATAAGATATATATATATATTATGAGGTTCAAACAATGAGGAACAACCATCTAGATTCATACAATAATCATACCAAGTCATGTAACCCGAGTAGTTTGTAAGCCATGTTTGAACATGGTGCACATATGTCTCTCTTGAGCTCCCTACTGTCCTCCCATATATGGGATAGTTAGGATTAACCCAACTAGTAGGTCCATAATCTATTTCCTCATCTTGAGCTCCATATCTAGTTCCATTATAATCAGACATGGCATAACCATAGCCATCATAAGATTCATTTGAGTTAGTACTAGGTCTAGTTCCTATGCTCATAGATCCAAAACTGATCGCCATGTCCTCTTCAGATGAATTGATTGGTTGGCTTCTTTTCTTTGAGTATTGCTTCCCAATTGCGTCAATGTCTGGTCCAGCTTCTCTGCATCCATGATCCTCATCTTGGGTGGTATGAGTAAAATCAGCCTCAACAGTAAATGGGTTGTATTGTCTTCCTTCTTCATTACCTCCTGATCCATCATTACTTCCTCCATTATTATCTGACGAATTGGATGAACTTTCCATTCTACTAGCACTAGCATCGTCTCTCAAGGGACGTCTTTGACCTTGCCTAGGTCCAAGCATATACCTCCAAAAAATATTTTCAGTTTCAATTTGCTTCAAAGCTTTTTAATTTTTTTGGGTTTTGTTATGGGTATCGGGAAATATCGGGAAATATCGGCAAAATATCGGGAATATCGCACTTAGCGGGGATATATCGTCGATATAGGGGAAGATATGACCTTACCCCCCAATATCGGTGTCGACAGTTCAAAATGTCGATATATCGGCCGATATATCGGTGTATCGGCCGATATTTCAATCCTTGGTTATACTCTTTCAAATCTGCTTGACTTATAGGGACGAACTGAGCTTGCTTATTTTCTTGAGCCCTTGAGCTGAGCATCTTCTAGCCATTGTCTAGTCGCTATTAATCTGGTTGACACCACCCCGGGGATTGGGTAGCTGATTTTCTAGTTCCTAGCAAAAGTGATGGCATTGATCTTGCCAATCCATTGTCTGCCTAGGATACCATTGTAGGGGAAACCTCGTCGATGATCATGAATGTCTGAGCGCTGATCACTGTTATAGAGTAGACATCGAGCTCTACCGTTCCTACAGTGATCGAGGTTGCTCCGTTAAAGCCAGTCAGCGACCCAAGTGACTTGTTGATCTTAGCCTCCATGCCCATCTGTTGAACTACCGAAAGTTGTAGGATATTGGATGTACTACCCTCGTCTACATGAATTCACTCGATCATGGCTTGCATGATTTGGATGCTTATGACAAAAGCGTCATTGTGCTGCAAATCAAGCTCAATCAAATCTTTCTTTTAGAAGCCAATCATGGAATTGTCTTCAATTGCTGGGTAGTTGATTAAAACTTGGGAGATGACAATGGCTTGTTTAATTTTCCTATTCTTTTCCTTGCCGATCAACCCTGATTCCTCATAGTTAGCGAAGATCGTATTAATCCTTATGACTTTATGGGAAGGCTTCTTAGCAGCATCCCGATCCTCGATCTGCTGGAGGGCTTTATTTGTCACGAACTCCGTACAATGGCCTTCTCTTATGAGCTCTTCGAAGTGCATCTTCCAAGGAAGACACAGTACTTGTTAGTACTTCTCTTGTGAGGATGTCCCTTCAAAGGTGGTGGTCTCCTCAGTCAAGACTTATCCTTCACTTGGGCCAAGATTTGATGTATAGGGATAGTGAACTTCGTATAACTTTCATATGCTGGTGTGCCACTTTGGGATGGTGCTTTGCACTTTCCTTCATAGTTCCTACTGTGGGGCTTATCACCTATCTGACCTGCCTCCTTGTGTGGTTGTTCGGCTTGCTTAGCAGACTTCTTTATAGCGATTCGATCGTCGTCCCAAAGCATTCCATAGTCGTGAAGACCTCTGCTAGAGTCAGCTTGTGATATAGGTCATGTTATCTGGTAAACCCTTCTTGAAGGCAGAGAAAGTGATTCGGTCATCGCATCCCACACTGTTGGCTTTCTCCGCCTTGAATCTTTTGATGTAGTCTTGGAGGGACTCATCATGCTTCTTGCGTAGGTTGAACAGTTGGTCGGCTTGTTTCTTGATCTTCCTGTAGGAAGTGAACTTCTTGGTGAAGAGGAAAGCCTGCTCCTTAAAGCAGCTGATCGACTTCGATGGCAGGGTATGGAACCAATCCTAAGCTGCTCCTCGTAAGGAAATCGTAAACACCTTGCACATCAGTGCATCTTTGGCCCTGTAAAGAATCATAACACTTTTAAAGTGCTTTAAATGGCTCTCAGGATTGGAATCCTTTTTGAATTGTGTAAAGAAAGAGTTGAGAATCACTTCGGTGGAGCTGCCTACTCGATCTCGGTGGTGAACGGTGAGAAGTTCACTTGGTCAACTTCCTTGTGCAGAGAATCTTTGAAATCTCCTCTAGTTTTCAAGTCTCAAAATCGATCATTCACGAGTTTCTTGACATTTTCTGCCTGCACGGCTTGCAGTTTAAGTCAGTGTCTCCCATGATGCAGGCATCGCTAGTGTACCTCCTCGTTGTTTCTTCGGAGAAGATCTCCTTGACTATCCTACCTGTGTGACATGTTCGTGCACTGAGCTTGCGAGAGACCCTATGTAGCTTATCTTCGTGAG